CCACCACCTCGGCGACCATCATTTCTATCTCGCCGATAGAGGGAGTACCCATTTATTTTCACAATTTCACTAGCAATATAATTATTTAACCAGGTCTCAGATAGACATAAAATATCAAAGTTCATAGTTTTCAACAAATAATTAATTTCATCGAGTTTATCATACAAGCTTCGCACATTCAAATGAGCTACTTTCAAGCCCTTTGCTTTGTGAGTGTTCAAGTTTTTCACTTGCTTTTTAGGAGAATGTTTCTTTAGTGCATCATTATCGGCACAGTCTTCCTGGCCTGCTTTTTAGCAGGTATATGTATTCTTGCAGAATTTACGTTTGTGTCCAGTTTCATTGCAGAGGTAGCACCTAATCTTTTCTCCAAAACGGCAGTGTATGTGCTTGTGATTTGTTTCACCACAGTAAAAACATCCTGTGTAGCGAGGGGAAGAAACAGCATGCGCATAGCTCATTGTAGGAGGTTGCAGTTGCGGTCCTTCAGACACATATGACGCAGTTTGCTGATGCGGATTCTGCATTGCCATGGAGAAAGGATGCGGATTAAGTGGGAAAGGGTGGCGAGTGGCGTAGGTGGAGGATAAAGTTCTCCGGTCAACATGTATGTGTTCAACATCATTTGAGATGGGGAATACAGGTTTATCGTTTTGATCATCTCTCTGTAATCGACTATCTTGTTCTGAGTTGATGTGGTGGATAAGATTCTGGGCGAATACATTAACCCCTTCAGGACTGAGATGTATGCCATCATTGCATAGATGTTGAAATGGCTCAATAGAGTCGTTGTTGATGAAGTCCCATCCGTGGGATAGGGCCATTGATTTTAGTCGACTGTTGGTGTCATTCAATTTGTTGAGGAGGTCACTTTGATACGCTCTCCTTTTGATGATGGAGCTAATCGTAATCGCATTCACGGAAGAGCATTCACCTAGGATTTGAAGGTTATTGTTGTTGAGTCATTCATCGCCATATTGTTTGATCCGACGTGGATGATGACCGTTTGGGGCAGGTTCTTATCAACCATATTCTTTGTTGGTTCAAAGAGGTCATCTATTTTAGCTCCGGGAAGCGTTTTACATTTAACTCTCTTTTGTGAAGACATCGTACTGTCAACCTAACCCTAACCCTAAACCAAACCATTTGCGTTGAACGTCAACGTCCATGGTTATTTTCAAGTTTAGCCAGTACAATGTCTTAATTAAGATAATAATTTTTTTTCTTTTTTGCGGCCTGTAGTACAGACTCTATCTCGTTATATTTACTAAATTATTCAACATTTTGGAGAATAGAGATAGACTGGTTGAAATTAATTTGGGTGAAATAATCTTACGAGATGATTTTTGTATTACTATTCTTTTATGAGCTCCAATTAAGCAAAGGATATATTGTAGTGTGTTAAAAGAGAAATGTATTTGTCTTGTTTGTTTGTTGGATGGTAGGTTTGGAGGTCGGTTGATCGGTTGACTGGTTGGTTTGAAGGTCGGATGGTTGGTTAGATGATTGGTTGAGGAAATGTTTAGTTGGTTGTTTGGTCAATTTGTTCATAGTTGGTTATTTGGTTGCTTGGTTTGAATTTTTCTTTTTCATTTTTTTTCTTGGTTTATGTGTTTCATAGACGCACTGGGAGAGAAATTCCTAGATTACTTAAGAATTCATTTTTAGGGAAATTTTTCTCTCGGTATTGTTTTTTTTTTTGTAACTATTACACTTTAAGGTGTGTCACTCCAAAACCACCTACCACTAGACATAAGACAATTCTCATTTGTTGCTGTCTTCAAAGTTTTGTTGAAGACGGATTTGTTTTCAAAAAGCTTTCAATCAGTTGTTTGTTGTGTGGCTGTAAAGTAACACTGTTTGGGATTTCTTTCTCATCCCAACACAGTGTATATTTCTATAGTAGCTGCGCTATATAGATTGATCAAATTATTATTAATTTGTTATTGTGTACCTATATATCCGTGTTGGATTGGATTTGCACTGTAGCACTAAATGGTGTAGAATGATGGATAGTTGACACGTTTCCTCTTTCACTTTGCCTGCAGACCGAATTCAGGCCATTATGATTGAAATAGGTCTCTGGGATGAGCTGCCTGCTTATAACGTTGTTTTATATCTATTATTTGATAGTATACGTATTGTATATATGCTCATAATTAGAGCGGAAATACATCAGATCAAATCAAATGAAAATCATTAACACGTAATAATTTGCATAAGTTATAGTGAGAAGGGGTGGAGCTAAATAGAGGCCGATTAATTCTCAGAGGAAGTTTTTTGTTTCGCCAGCCGTTACAGTCTTTGGTAAACAGCTTACCAGAAAGCTTTGAATCAGGCCACATAATGTATTGTAAATAACGGGATTCATATGATAGCAGTTAATTGTCTTAACTCTGCAATACTTGGTAAGGTATTGGATGGTCTTGGACCATGTCTCTTTCATCTCTCTCTCTCTCTCCCTCTCTTCCTCCCTCTCTCTCTCTCTCTGTCTCCCTCTCCCCCTCTCTCTCTCTCTCTCTCTCTCTCTCTTTCTCTCTCTCTCTCTCCCTGTATTACCACTCCCCATCGACCCTCCTAGTCTCTACTTGGCAACTTTGGTCACAAATATATACTGTACTTAATATTTTTTTTTAACTTTCACATTTTGGACCATACAGGAAAACGTGTTTTTTGTTTGTGTTTATTTACTTAGTACGTCTACTGCATACATGTATATAATTGAACCTCTTTCACCTTCAATTTTAAATCTGGTGGGAGAGCTGACAAAAATGAATATACACCTAAAGACGAAAGCAAAATAACAATCTTAATTCTTCATAACCCCTTTTAAAGTGAAAGATAAAAACACTGCATGTGCTCTAAAATCGAATATATATCTTCTTCTACTGTACAACTTACAAAAGTATAGGAAATTATGTTTAATGTATTTCATATTCTATGCGATAATCCTTGACAACTGCGCTTAGTCATAATCATAATATAGTATATCTTCTTCTACTAATAACTCACAAAAGTATAAGAAAGTATATCTAATGTATTTCATATTCTATACGATAATCTTCGACAAATGCGCTTAGTAATAAGCTATTAACATTATCATAATTGCTACATTATATAATATATGGATTAAAAAATGGTTAGAAAAAATGATACGGTAGTTTTTGTGAAATATTACAATGAAATTATGACTCTTTGTGTCATGCATTATACAAAAGTCAAACAACTCTATGACTAGAATGATTAAGTATCCATCTGCTACAAACATGTCATTATACCGCTAAAAACATCCATATATGCATTTAACTATTGTTCAATACACATGTATATGTATATATATATATATATATATATATATATATATAAGCGTGCATTAAGAATAATCCATAACGTCTACTTTCGTTCCCACACTAACCACTGATTTTTACAAGACTAAATTCTTAAAAATTATTGATTCGTATTCCTGGCACCTCGGCATCTTTATGTTCAGACCAATTAATAACGAGTTACCTCTCCCGATTTCCTCCATTTTTCAAAAAAGTAATGAGTTACATTCATACCTCACTAGACAGTCGAATCACTTCCACACTCCTCGAATGAGAACAGCTTTCGCACAACAACAACAAATTATTTACACCTCTCAAGTATAGATAGGGGCTCGGCTCGAGCCCTCCGAGCCCCGCCGTTCCGCGGGCCCTGATAATCATATTTTAACATAGGCCTATTAAATCGAATCATATCGTATCTTATCGTAAAAAATATCATGTCATGTCATGTCATATCAAAATAAAATCAATTCAGATCAAATCGATTTAAATCATATTAAATCAAATGAATCAACTCAGTTTACATTGAAATAATAAATCCTATTTAGATTTATCATCATATGGATGACAACAAACAGTTAAAATAAAAAATAATAACACTTAAGAATCATTTATAACCAGGAGAGTGCATCGAAACAATATTCAATTTGATTTTGCATTAATTAAGCACGGCTCATCGCCTCAGCCATATTGGCAATCCGATCGAAACAAAGTGTTATGTCGTCATCTTAACTGCGGCAAATTTGACCCCTGTGGAAACGAGGTTTTAATTTGCTTTGGTGCAATACTGAAAGGAATAATATTATGAGTTTGCACCTCAAACTCAAAAGGTAGGCCTCAATACTCAATACTATTTTATTTGACTATGGTTTTTGTTCTAGTCTTGCGTAAGGGCAAGTACTTTTGATGATAACTCGAACCTTCGAATGTGGAAATTTTCATTTCTTCATAGAAATAGGGTATCAAATGTTTACGGTGCAAAAAACGCGTATTTTGAAAGACGACTCTTGTTTTGATTTGCAAGGGACCCGCATTCAGAAGTAACGTTGGAGGACGACAAACACGAGAGTAAGCAAAGCACAGAGATCAACGAGATACATTGGTCCAAGTAAGTTAAAATAACAAACAAAGAAATAACAATAATAATAATGATAAAATTAATGATAATAAAATGGTAATAATGATAATTATAATGATAATTACCAGTGAACTGTTCATTGAACAGCGCCATCTCATGGTCAACTTACCAACAGGGCGTTACCCAATACCTAATTTCCACTGAGCAGACACAGGACTCAATGCGAAAACCAAGAGCGCAGGTAGGGCCAGACCACCTAATTCGTTCCGATGACGAATTAAATTTTTCGTTTGGGACCATACTGCTGCAGCTGACCTGAGATGGGACTAGATGGGAGTTTGCAGTAGTGCTTCTAATACAGTATGGCTTTAAAGTTCACCCTTGCTTCGGCTTAATAGTAATGATATATATTCAGTCAAACTCCCCCTTGCAAGATCAGTACTAATAAAAACTAATCCTATCCTTGTTTATCACAGTTGTAATACCTAATCTATTCGAAACCTTGATATTTTACTGGCCTAACGCACCGTATATCCTATTCATTATAAAAGGAATTGTGAAATTAATAATAATACAATAATATTCAGCATTAATATAGCGCTTAATAAAATGTCTCTAAGAGCTTTACAAATGTACTATTAACAACAACAACATCAGAGATTATCAAGTAACAGCCTATAATATTTTGACAAACTCGCTACATGTACAACTTTACTTATAGAGCTCATGATATACAGTCAAACTTGTCTTCATAGCCACCTATCTGTATTGCTATGCATCTTGTGTTAGTTATACAAGCTAAATGTGTTGTAGAAGCTGTCTATAGAAAGACACCCATTTTACCTTAATAGACAGGTTTAACTGTATTTAAAGCTCGTTCTGGGTCCTACTTCATGGTATCACTTTACATCGGCAACTCGTACTCCGGCTCAGTATTCTCATCGGCAACTCCCAAGTTTGATTTCTTCACTCTAGCTGTTTGCTCCACTATTCTTTGATTTCCATATTCTACCCCCTCGATTGCATTTATGTAGCCTCTATTTCCTTGTCTAGTTGCTTTGATGTCCTCGTAGGCTGGTTGCTTCATAGTTGTTGTATCTAAGGACGTGTAGGGATCGAGTTCCTGGCCCTCCCTGTCACTGACTGACGGTTTTAAAGCGATTTTAGAGCGTCTGACATGGAGGAAAGAAAGATTATTGGGGAAATATAACATAGTTGTGTTATAGCATCAGCGCCTCCTATGTAATAATTCAAATTGTTATTATTATTTTATGAATTGGATCATTTGTATTATTATCATCATCATCATTATCATTTGTTACTTATCTATTTATTAGGAGGAGGCGCGATAGCTCAGTCGGTAGAGCAATGGTCTCGTAATCCGGTGACCTCTGTTCGAAACCAAGGCGAAAGTTCAATTTAAATCAGGGTGTACTTCCCCTTTAGAAATTACATTTGAAAACATTCAATTATGCGCCAGTGCCCTTTGGTAAGGCATTAATCCACATTACCAAGTCCATCGGAGAGGACTTAGATCCATCGGCCGTCTGGTTGCTTACTTACAAGCATTTATGCTTTCTAAGCAGTCAGGTAAAATAACCACCACCACCACCTATTTCTATAACTATTATTATGCGTATTGGGCGATTGTGGGTGTTAATGAGTGTTGGTGAGTGCTGGGGCGCTATGGGAGACGGGGGTGGTGGGCTTGATCTATATCTCACCTGAGATGGAGGTACATCAATGTTATGATGATACCATACAAGGTAACAAAAGCGAGTAGTATGCCCACAGCGAGAGTGCTGGCGATTTCTGAAGAGAAAAAAATCAGGAAAGAATTTACAGACAATAGGCCCATTTACACATCGTTTACACATATTTTTTTTTTTGTACTGCCTTTTACATTTTATTTTAATCGGATTTTGCTCAAACTTGCACTTACCTGTTCTTCTAATTGTTTTGCTTCTATAAAAATTCAATTTAAATCAGGGTGGACCCGTTAAAAATTACATTTGAAAACAATCAATTATGATGATAGTTTAGCTCTACTTCCTTTCCATTGCTTAGTTATTGTTGTAGTTGTTCTATTTTGGTAACTTGGTAACATTTTTCAGATGAGAGATAATGATGATAAGTTAGTGACTTTAATGCTAAATGTACAATTAAAGATAATCTGAACGTTTGAGTAAAAAAGACCATTATTAATGATACAAATTGGGAAAAACTGATCAGATCAATTCCATAACTCTCCCAACTATTTTATTACAATTTAATTAGATTTTAGGTGGGTGTAAACCGTCACAAAGCAAAGCATTGGCTTTAAATACCATTCTAGACATTTAAGTGTTAAAAGATTTTTTAAAGCCTGTTTCATGTCTTATTTTCATGGAAAAACGGTTTGGAAAATTCAGAAAAAGTTGGGAGAATTTGCTGTTAGAGGGTGTCGCACAGTGACGCCTTCAATGAAAACCATAAATATCTTTGTGGTTTGAGTTTTTTCAGGATTTTTTTTATGTTAGAGGGTTAGTATAAGGAATATATTACGTAAAATTTCATACAAAAATTACACAGTTTTTTTGATCAACCTACAACAATTTTACCGAGTCACTTTTATACGATTTCGTGTACTAGAATTGACAATTATTAAAGTTATCATAATCGAATATATACCAGAACTTCTTTGTATTAAAAAAACGTTATAGGACGAAAGAAATTACTTTTTTATATCATGGCTAATTAGAAAATAACTGAGGTTCATTGATTTGTATTCTATTATGTTCACCGTGTAGTTTGGTCACGTGTGAAATATAGAGACGTCACCATATGGTTGAGAGTTTGCATATGTCCTAATTCGCTGAGACCGTGCAGATTTGGTGGAAATACTACTGATGGTATACGAGTATTGCGCACAGCGAATTGCATTTTCATAATGGGGAGATAGGTGGAAAGTGCAGAGCGCATTACATAAGACATTTTGATTGAAAAATTGAAGGCCACTTCCGGAGTTTGATAACATCTATTATCAGGTGAATACCCGAATGGTACCGAATTCGCGTGATGATGCTTCTGTACAGGAACCAGAAATCAGTATTGCACGCTTTCACCGAAATATGGCGCAATCGAAAAAAACATTACAGCAGTAGTAGCGATGTCGGTAACTTACACTGCCTTTAACATTTTAAATGCACGCAATTTGCTGAAAACCGCCGTGTTGACAAGCATGATCGCGATCGCTTTGATTCTTACCAGTTTTAAGATCAACTTGACCCGATGTTGATGCAAAAGTAGAAGAAGTATCAGCAGACGTAGTAGGAGGAGGCGTTGACTGGAAAACTACGTTCAATGAATACAAAAAGTGTCGTTTCAGCAATACAAATTTGTTGTTTCAGCGGAGGAAATTGATGAACAAACAGATTCAAACATATTCTACACATGCAAGATTTTCAAATACGACATGTTATAATATTGATAGCTCATAATACAACGCAAATATTAAATACGACCAAAGATGTATGCTGTGTTGTACAATCAATGCTATGCACATATAAGAAAGTTATCACTAAATCTATTATCAGGTGAATACCCGAATGGTGCCAAATCCCCCCCCCCCCCCCGAATCCATAATTATATGTCTTTAAAAAAGCGTCGACAGCCATGGTCCAGAATGCATCACCAACTGCATGACACGCGCGTGATGATGCATATGTACCGGAACCGGAAATCGATATATTGTACGCTTTCACCGAAAGATGGCGCAATCGAAAAAACATTACAGCAGTGGTAGCGACGTCGGTAAAATACACTGCCTTTAATATTTTAGATGCCCGCAATTCAGTGAAAATTCCAATGTTGACGAACATGATCGCGATCGCTTTGATTCTTACCAGTTTTAAGATCCACTTGACCCGATGTTGATGCAAACGTAGAAGTATCAGCAACCGTAGTAGGAGGATGCGTTGACTGGGAAACTACGTTCAATGAATCAAATAAGTTGATGAGCAAACACATTCAAAACACATTCTACACATATCAGATTTTATAATATGGCATGTTATAATATTGATAGCTGATAATACCACGCAAATATAAAATACGACCAAAGATGTATGCTGTGTTGGACCATCAATGCTATGCAAATATAAGAAAGCTATCACTAGATCTATTATGAGGTGAATACCCGAATGGTGAAAAAATATTCCACCAGAATCCATAATTATATGTCTTTAAAGACAGTGTATTCTGACACTATACGTCAGATGACGGTTACTGCCATCTGCTGCTTATGTCTCGACAGCCATGTCCCACGATTCATCACCAACTGCATGACGCGCAGGCAGGCACGTAGCCCCCCAAAATGTCCAAGATCGTTTGAACTTTTGTAGACCCATCCCCAGGACGTCGATCAATTACATGTATGTCCCCCCCCCCCCTCCCCCCCCCCCCTCCCAAACATCAAACTCTTGCTACGACCCTGATAACGCGCGCGATGATGCTTTTGTACATGAACCAGAAATCTATCTATTGCACGCTTTCACCGAAAGATAGCGCAACCGACAAAACATTACAGCAGTGTTAGCGATGTCGGTAAAACATCCTGCCTTAAACATTTTCAATGTACGCAATTCGCTGAAAACCGCCGCGTTGACGAGGTTGATCGCGATTGCTTTTATTCTTACCAGTGTTAACATCCAATTGACCCGATGTTGATGCAAAAGAAGAAGGAGTAGATGTAGTAGTATCAGTAGTAGCAATAGCCGGACTCGTTTCAGCAACCGTAGTTGAGGGAGGCGTTGACTGGAAAACTACGTTCAATAAATAACAATTTGTTGTTTCAGCAGAAGAATTTGATGAACCAAGAGATTCAAACACATTCTACACATGCCATATTTTAAAATATGACATGTTATAGTTGATAGCTGATAATACCATGCAAATATCAAACAAGACCACAGATGTATAATGTGTTTGACAATCAATATCATGTACAATTATACACAAAACTTGGCCCACATGTTCTCGGTCACGTACTCCCAACCATGCAATCAGGGAGATAGTCTTTGTTTTTCCTTTTTTTTTAAAGGACGACGGATGTCAAAAAGTGGCCTGATAAGACTAAACCTAATGATAAAATGATGAAAGCTTTTCTAACATATATGCTACCGCAACTCTGATTAACTTGTTCAACATGACACGATGCATTGCAAAGGCACATTAAATGCCGGTATAAAAAAGACGTATTACACTAAATGGCCTAGATCAAGTTAGAGACAGTTTAATACTAGTTGAGTGCCTTGGTTGAGGTTAATACACGGAAAGTCAAAAATTGGTCCGGTTAAAGTCGGTTAGTGGTATGACTGAAGAACTACACGGAATGGCATCCGGTCGGGTTGGAGTCCGTTTAAAATCGGGTTAGTGGTGTAACTGAAGTTTTATTTACAAGTCACTCAATCACTTTTGGCAATGTTTTGTATTCCGTCCGATATGTCAAGTTTGATAATAGTCTTGCTTGAGGTTTATATATATCTCAAAGAATAGGCCTACTCACGTCTAAAGACAGCTATGTATAATGACCCACCACAGCTATCGGTAGGGTCCCCGAGACATGGGATCTGACAGTTAGCATCTGATACCTCTCCATGTCGGGCAAAGTCATCACTCGCTTCACCACTGTGACAGTAACATGCATATCCATGTTCGAGGCCGGCGTATGTATAGTTAGCTCTGGTTGACTCGTTACAATACTTGATGCAAAAGGAAATACTCATCAATGAAGAGGCGAGTTGGAGTCCGGGTAACACTCTGTCTCTCTCATCATCCTTAAAACATCCGATATATCCATCACCTGTAAACAAAAACAGAACTTTAAAATGGGATGTTGATGTAGTACACACATTTATTCAAAACAAATCCAACATACTGCAGGATCCGTGTAAGTACCTTTTTTTTTAAGAATGATTGAGATTTTTTTGATTTTTTTTTCTTTCTTCAATTATCATTCTTTGAACAGCATTCCGGCCAACCACTCTAGACTTATACAAGAGCCCACGGGTCAATCCTACCACAATGATGTTCACATTCTACCGTTAAACCCATTTAGCACCTTGGTGGAGGGAATCAATTTAGAGAAAAGGCCTTGCCTAACGACATAAGTGCAGTGTCGGGGATTTGAAGCGATGGCCTTCACATCTGCAGTCAAAGTTTTTAAGCCATTGAAGTATCCCTTTTCCGTAGATTATGAAAGGGCTTATGAAACAGATTTATGTGTTGATTGAAATTAACTTTAATTACCATGACACGAAGCTGCTCCTGCAATAGAGCACGCTGCATTTGAAAACAACGTACACTCAGCCAAATTATCTTCGTCTGAAGAAGAGGAAAAAAACGCTGGAGTTAACTTGTGTCATTTTCTCTTGATACCATAGTCATTACAGATTACTGTAAAATTTACTTTACGTTGTTAATGATTTTGAAATAAATCAGGAGAGATGGACATAATCTACAATAAAGAAATCCTACCCTTAACATAAATCATGTTCCGAAAATCAAAAAGTGTGTGATTGATGTTTTCAAACGACATAGAATTGTCCAACTCAATTGTACAATCACAATCATTTGCTTTTATTTTGGACCATATTCCATACTGTATGATGTTATATTATTGTGTGTAAGTTGTTATGGTTACGGTTATATCAGAATATCTTAAACCACACTATATACTCTACAGACAAGATGGCTCAGTGGTAGAGGGTAGAGCAGTGGTCTCGCAAACAGATATACCGGATCCGAAACAAAGTCGATCTAGTACCTTTTGATAAGGCATTCATCATTATTACTAAGTTCCTTGGAGAGGACTGACCTTGGTTGCTTACTTCCAAGCACATTCATGCTTCCGCAGTCAGGTAAAAACAGATCGTTCAACCACACCAACCAAATACAACGACTGACGCCTTATATCGAGGGAAACCTTCGTGATTTTAGTCTAAATTTATCGACCTTTTCGCAGAAACATTCATCATTGTTTCATTTTATCTTAAAAGGAAATTGTTTCAATATGTTTTTTTCGTGCGTGTTCTTTATCCTGTATTCTTGTCTAGTATGTCATTTTTGTAATGCCCTGTGTCTACCGATAAGTCAGCTCTTCCAATGGCTAAGCTACGTCTCCTTTGTAATGCAAATTTGATCAATAATAAAATGTATTCGACATGAGCGCTATAGAAGAACCTACTTTTATTATTATTGTTTATTATTGTTATAAATACATGACTTTTTAAAAGGGAGTTTGGATGAGACACATTCGTTAATTGTACTCAGAAATGAAATGCTTACCACCACTACAAGTCAGCCCTCTAGTAGGAGTTGAACTCTGTCCATAAGTTGTGTTTGTTATTGCTCTGCTTGCTCCTGTGAATCCCAAGTGTCTGCAGATGACAATGACATCATGGATACCAAGGTTTACTCCACATGTTGTCTCCCATGATCCATTGTCTTGCCTGATCTCAACCGTGCCTTTATTGGACGTAGGACCATCAACAAGACGTACATCTGTCCCAGGAATTAAAACCACCAAAATAATAATTGTTATACACATTGTTAACTGTGATCAGTATTCTTGTATAACTATTTATGCTTATATAAGATTCACAACACAAATACAAAAGCAGAAGGGTCCTTTTGCCTTGCTAGAGAAATTACGTATTTAGAATCGCTAGCTCGTTCGAAGGAACGAGGGGCAGTTCCCCCCCCCCCCTTTCCTCTACTTACAGATTGCCTATTAGTCCAGTAGACGGTACCATATGCCATGTACATGACCTGGAAAAGTTGATAAGTACAAGTTTTTTGTGTTGATTTGTGTTCTAGATGGGAATTGAAGTATATTCTGCTTTGTTACCAGCTTGGCAACCTTGAACAGCTTTTTTAATAGCCATATTAGCATAATCATCTAATTAGCATATGTGCAATATGTAATAATGTTGCTAATCTCAATCCAGGAAGCCTGAAAACATGGTTAATACGACTTTTCAAGGATTTTCTGTGACGAGGAATTCATTTATGATCGGTTGAACTTTTGTAGACCCATCCCCAGGACGTCGATAAATTACATGTATGTCCCCCCCCCCCCCCCCCCCCCCCGACATCAAACTCTTGCTACGACCCTGATAACGCGCGCGATGATGCTTTTGTACATGAACCAGAAATCTATCTATTGCACGCTTTCACCGAAAGATGGCGCAATCGACAAAACATTACAGCAGTGTTAGCGATGTCGGTAAAACATCCTGCCTTAAACATTTTCAATGTACGCAATTCGCTGAAAACCGCCGCGTTGACGAGGATGATCGCGATTGCTTTTATTCTTACCAGTGTTAACATCCAATTGACCCGATGTTGATGCAAAAGAAGAAGGAGTAGATGTAGTAGTAGTAGTAGTAGTATCAGTAGTAGCAATAGTTGGACTCGTTTCAGCAACCGTAGTTGAGGGAGGCGTTGACTGGAAAACTACGTTCAATAAATAACAATTTGTTGTTTCAGCAGAAGAAGTTAATGAACCAAGAGATTCAAACACATTCTACACATGCCATATTTTACAATATGACATGTTATAGTTGATAGCTGATAATACCACGCAAATATCAAACACGACCACAGATGTATAGTGTGTTTGACAATCAATATCATGTACAATTATACACAAAACTTGGCCCACATGTTCTCGGTCACGTACTCCCAACCATGCAATCAGGGAGATGGTCTTTGTTTTTCCTTTTTTTTTAAAGGACGACGGATGTCAAAAAGTGGCCTGATAAGACTAAACTTAATGATGAAATGATGAAAGCTTTTCTAACATATATGCTACCGCAACTCTGATTAACTTGTTCAACATGACACGATGCATTGCAAAGGCACATTAAATGCCGGTATAAAAAAGACGTATTACACTAAATGGCCTAGATCAAGTTAGAGACAGAAATACTAGTTGAGTGCCTTGGTTGAGGTTAATACACGGAAAGTCAAAAATTGGTCCGGTTAAAGTCGGTTAGTGGTATGACTGAAGAACTACACGGAATGGCATCCGGTCGGGTTGGAGTCCGTTTAAAATCGGGTTAGTGGTGTAACTGAAGTTTTATTTACAAGTCACTCAATCACTTTTGGCAATGTTTTGTATTCCGTCCGATATGTCAAGTTTGATAATAGTCTTGCTTGAGGTTTATATATATCTCAAAGAATAGGCCTACTCACGTCTGTAGACAGCTATGTATAATGACCCACCACAGCTATCGGTAGGGTCCCCGAAACATGGGATCTGACAGTTAGCATCTGATACCACTCCATGTCGGGCAAAGTTATCACTCGTTTCACTACTGTGACAGTAACCTGCATATCCATTTTCGAGGCCAGCGTATGTATAGTTAGCTGTGTTTGACTCGTTACAATACTGGATGCTATAGGAAATGGTCATCAATGAATAGGCGATTTGGATTCCGGGTAACACTCTGTCTCTCACATCATCCTTAAAACATCCGATATATCCATCACCTGTAAACAAAAACAAAACTTTAAAATGGAATGTTGATGTAGTACACACATTTATTCAAAACAAATCCAACATACTGCAGGATCCGTGTAAGTACCTTTTTTTTAATAATGATTGTGATTTTTTTGATTTTTTTTTCTTCAATTATCATTCTTTGAACAGCATTCCGGCCAACCACTCTAGACTTATACAAGAGCCCACGGGTCAATCCTACCACAATGATGTTCACATTCTACCGTTAAACCCATTTAGCACCTTGGTGGAGGGAATCAATTTAGAGAAAAGGCCTTGCCTGACGACATAAGTGCAGTGTCGGGGATTTGAAGCGATGGCCTTCACATCTGCAGTCACAGTTTTTAAACCATTGAAGTATCCTTTTTCCGTAGATTATGAAAGGGCGTATGAAACAGATTTATATGTTGATTGAAATGAACTTTAATTACCATGACACGAAGCTGCTCCTGCAATAGAGCACGCTGCATTTGAAAACAACGTACACTCAGCCAAATTATCTTCGTCTGAAGAAGAGGAAAAAACGCTGGGGTTAACTTGTGTCATTTTCTCTTGATATCACAGTCATTACAGATTACTGTAAAATTTACTTTACGTTGTTAATGATTTTGAAATAAATCAGGAGAGATGGACATAATCTACAATAAAGAAATCCTACCTTTAACATAAATCATGTTCCGAAAATCAAAAAGTGTGTGATTGATGTTTTCAAACGACACAGAATTGTACAACTCAATTGTACAATCACAATCATTTGCTTTAATGTTGGACCATATTCCATACTGTATGATGTTATATTATTGTGTGTAAGTTGTTATGGTTACGGTTATATCAGAATATCTTAACCCACACTATATACTCTAAAGACAAGATGGCTCAGTGGAAGAGGGTAGAGCAGTGGTCTCGCAAACAGATATACCGGATCCGAAACAAAGTCGATCTAGTACCTTTTGATAAGGCATTCATCATTATTACTAAGTTCCTTGGAGAGGACTGACCTTGGTTGCTTACTTCCAAGCACATTCATGCTTCCGCAGTCAGGTAAAAACAGATCGTTCAACCACACCAACCAAATACAACGACTGACGCCTTATATCGAGGGAAACCTTCGTGATTTTAGTCTAAATTTATCGACCTTTTCGCCAAAACATTCATCATTGTTTCATTTTATCTTAAAAGGAAATTGTTTCAATATGTTTTGTTCGTGTGTGTTCTTTATCCTGTATTTTTGTCTAGTTTGTCATTTTTGTAATGCCCTGTGTCTACCGATAAGTCACTCTCTTCCAATGGCTAAGCTACGTCTCCTTTGTAATGCAAATTTGATCAATAATAAAATGTATTCGACATGAGCGCTATAGAAGAACCTACTTTTATTATTATTGTTTATTATTGTTATAAATACATGACTTTTTAAAAGGGAGTTTGGATGAGACACATTCGTTAATTGTACTCAGAAATGAAATGCTTACCACCACTACAAGTCAGCCCTCTAGTAGGAGTTGAACTCTGTCCATAAGTTGTGTTTGTTATTGCTCTGCTTGCTCCTTTGAATCCCAACTGTTTACAGATGACAATGACATCATTGATACCAAGGTTTACTCCACATGTTGTCTCCCATGATCCATTGTCTTGCCTGATCTCAACCGTGCCTTTATTGGACGTTGGACCATCAACAAGACGTATATCTATCACAGGAATTGAACCCAAAAATAATACTTGTTACAAAAAAATGATAACTGTGAGCAGTATTCTTGTATAATTTTCATGATTATACTTATATAAGATTCACTACACATATAAAAAAAAAAGGGGGGGGGCCTTTGTCTAGCTAGAGAAAATAAGTATTTAGAACACTAATCACTAACTCATTTAAAGGGGCGAGAGGCGGTTTGCTCTCCCCCCCCCCCCCCCCCCAGATTTCTAATCATTTAAAAATATGAAGACTGACTTTGCAGTAAAATTAGTACATAATTCCAATGTAGTAATCATCCAATTGCTGTATGTAGGTACGGCTACTATGTAGTGTAATACATGATTAAACCAGTGCTTTACCAGGCATTTTGTAACTTTGCACTTTTGACCCTGCGCCTCCTATGGCGGCAAAACCATTACAAATATGGAATCATTATAAAGAGGAACTAGAAATGCAATCGTGTCCCAACGATGTGCGTGCAATGACGCCATGTTTCTACGTGACAAACGAAGGAGCTACTCTCGGAATATCCAGAGCAATATGTAAGAAGTCTGTAGCTTCTGTGATAGTGGAGATAGTTAGGGCTAAAGAAAGGTCACCAAAACGGCCCGAAACGGTGCATTGACGGTCACGCATGAGGGTTTCCGGAGAACGAAGAATTCAGTGACCTTTAAGGAATGCTAGAGACTACGCCTACGAATTTTGAAGGGAATTGGAGTAGAGGAAGGGATCTAGAAAGGGCTCGCAAGCACTGCGTGCAACACCAATAGGATTTGGTGCATGATGAACATGTTGCGACGCGTGCTTTGGCACGAACGGCCGCCCATACTAACACAACCGAATAACAGTCTTAAAAATGACGTCATAGCCGATACGTGTTATAATTGGGCGGAAACTCGGCGGAATTCGTATAGTGACCCTTGTTCAAATGTGATTTACTCACAATTTTCTGTGTGAACATATACCATACTTTGTTGAAGTTGAAGTTATTTTGGAATTTTCTTGAAAATGGCGAATTTGGAGGGCATTTTTCGCAAAGTCGGTCAGTGTTAGGGTATATAATTTTGTATATGGCTGGAAAGGGCATATCTTTAAGTATCTAAATCCAAAAAAGGGTACGGGTTTGCCAAGCCATAATGGAGATACGGCCACAGAGAGAAAGCCAATTCCCAGAACTTTAGAGGGCGCTATTTATGTTTTGCAAAGCCATTGGGGCGTTAAATTTAGCATGGCTATGTGCAATTATGAGATAAAGATACTGTGTGATTTAAATACAAAACGGAATTTATATGAGAAAGTTATGGCAGTTTTAGATTATTTAGGGGTCCATTTTTCAAGAATTTGAGAGATTGTTGACAAAGACGGTTTCAGATTTGAATTTTGAGTATGAAGATGGCATTTTGAAGGGCAAGTTATATATCGCAGATTAAAGAACATCTCTTAGACTATCTATGGGTATTTGTTAGAAATTTGTAGCATCTAGGATAGTGGAGATAGGAAGGAAGATAGAAAGGCCATAAAATGGACCAGAAACGGACAAAATGGCGCCTGGACGTTTACGCATGAGTGATTTCAGAAAACGAAAAAGTAGGTGACCTAGATTGGATATCAGAGATTACGTCTACGAAGTTTAAAAGGAATCGAGCAAGAGAAAAGGACCTGGATAGGAATAACAAGCACTACGTGCAAAGCGAATGGGATTCCGGACGACAAGAAGAAGAAGAGGAAGAACCAAGAATATTAATAAGAAGAATGTGAACGAAAACAAGGCAATGACGAAGGTCGTCATTGCAATAAACATAATTTCCAAATAGTACTGAACAAAGCGATAATCATCCCATGACAAGAGATACATAATCGATCAAACTTGAATTTCCATACTTTGTTGAGGGGTTCGGATATTTACCTGATATCACACCATTGACGATATGTTCCCCGCAATGTACAACAAGAACTAATGTTATGAGTACGGTACACCTCTCGACGGAAGCCATACTCTACAACAGCTAAATATCAGTCAAGAGAGGTGAAGCGATTTTATTGTGAAGAAAAATGTCTGGAAGCGATTTGAAGGAAAAATTGATTACGTAGAAGAATCGATATACTGTGGGGTTTAAAGTATGTAAATGTGGTAATAATATTGAGATTGATTTATTCTTGCTGGAAGACATGAGCACTGCACAAAAAAATGTACATATGGTACTACACAAATATGTGACACGATCGAAGTGAGAATTCGGCCCAAATTGTTTAGCTATTTCTCATCATAAATCGAATTTGAGGGTATCAAGAGCGATCATGTTTAAGTGACATTTATTCTATATATGAGAATCTGCCAAACTAACATCATACAGAATGTGAGAGATTGTTTGTTAAAAGATTTTTAAATGTTGTTTTATGACCAAAACAAAAACAAAATGTTGTTTTATGACCAAAACAATCACTTAAAGGCCGTCTGTACTAGTGTGGACAGGAGGGATCAGACCACCCAGCGAGGTCACTGACGGGTGGCTATATCATCAACTCAGCTCTCAATTAACATAAGAAAAGGGATCATGGGGGACCAACAGGCACCGATTAGGCATTGTTTTCTATATAGGGGGAGCAAGTAGCTACAAGTAGTACAGTGGGGCTTTATTAACCAAAAAAAGTATGTATGTGAAAGCTCACAAATTATGTTTCACTTTCACCAGAACACAACCTCCTCTTTAACATAACGTACGTGGGTGGATTATTATCTGAATTTTAATGATATAACCTTGTTGTTAAATTACATAGAAATGTAAAAGTAAAACAAAAAGGAATAATTATAATAATAAAGATAGTCCTAATAATGATACAACAATGATAATAGTAATTTCAATGATGAGAAGAAGAAGAGGAATAACATAATGATAAAAAATATATATATAATTTACATACTTTGCCTTATTGCAGTGACTTGGAACACTTTGGTTTATCTGGTATACCAGATTCCTGAATTCACGTCCGAGATTTTGTAAAATCCAGTCGTACCAAACTTCTGTATCACTTTTAATAGCATTTCAACATTTGGCAACGGTGAGATATTATCACATAATGGCTTTAGTTCGGGTATATTAGTATTTCCCGTACGCAGTCAACACAGAAATACATAATGCCTGGTGATTTTCGTGGTATGTTCTTGCTTCTGCCGGGGTGCGACTTTGCGTTTTACACCCTGGCCTGGACCTTTTCCCAATAAATTTCAAGGAACCGACTGGGAAAAGTCTATCCATGACAAGATATTGCGCGCGCACGTAGCTCTTCTGCAATGCTCAACGTACGTCCTATATGTCCAGTGTCGCGGTACGCGGTACATGTACTTTTGTATCGAGACGTACGAGTGAGAGAAAAACAACGAATAACAACAGAAGGAAATAGAGAAAAACAATAAATAATTAAAGAACAGAGAGGAAACAAAGAATGTCATAAGCAGAGAGAGAAAACAAAAACTAACTTGAAAGAAAGAGAGAAATTAGAGAAGGAATTAATCAAAGTAAGGAAAGAGAGAAACCAAATAATATTATGGTTTTTGTGGTTTAATTCCGCCTTCTTCAGGGTTTCAATTTTTGACGTGTAGCCTACTTTCAAACCATTTGCTGATTCGGACCCCCCCCCCTAACACACGTGTACACATATCGACACATACACAGACTACACTCGACATAATATGTGTAATGGTAATGTAATACATAAACTGTGATTTAAATATTGCACTCGTACCATTTTCTATTATTGTGGGATCACGTCTTTCATTTTTTAAATTCATGTCATTTATTTCTAAGACCTAATTTCTCTAATTCTCTTGACCCCTCTCCCTTCATATTTGTTTTCTAAGACCTCCCCCCCCCCCCTCATCTCTCTTCATATTTGTTTTATAAGACCCATTTCTCCCCCGCCCCCCCCCCCCATCTCTATTCATATTTGTTTTCTAAGACCTCTCTCTCTCGACCCACTCTCTCTCTCGTATGTATTTCTCAGACCCCTCTTTCTTTCTCTCTCATTAACCCCCTCTTCATATTTGTTTCTAAGGCCTCTCTCTCTCTCTTCATATTTGTTTCTAAGACCCCCCCTCTCTTTCTCATTTCTTGATATTTGTTTCTAAGACCTCTCTCTCTCTAGCTCTCAATTCATGATATTTGTTTCTAAGACCCCCTCTCTTTCTCACTTCTTGAATTTATATTTGTTTCTAAGACCTCTGTCTCTCTCTCCCTTTCTCTCTTTCTCATTTTAAATTCATGATATTTGTTTATAAGACCTCTCTTTCTCTCTTTTTCCATTCATCACTTTGTCTAGTGTAATGTACAGACACATAACATATAAAGGAAATTATACACCAGTTTTACATGAATTCATTTGCACTTTATTTACTGCTTTACATTCATATACTTTTTTTTTCGTGAAGGTAATCTAATCCTTCAATGTCAGAGAAGTAATACAAAAGATACAGGAGTATGTGTATGCATAAATAGTTATATAAAGAAGAAATATGTAGTAAAAGTGAAAGCAAACAATAGTAGAAATTTGAACAGATAATTTGACAGTGTGTTAAGATTTAGATGCAAGAAATGACTATAAGAAATTTTTATTTGAAAATACATGCACATGTAGATAAAAAGAGATCTGAACATAGGCGGATTCATGGGCGCAGAGGCGTGCACCGCACTTTACTTTGGAGATAACGAACTGAATACACATAATAATGGATGATACGTGAAAATAAGTTAACTCATGAACTGTATTAAGTTAGTAAGTTACACCTTAAGTTAGGCCCTCCTGCAGTCCTAGACTACATAACGTTAGATCTAACGTTATGTTTGTTTACATTGTTACTTATGCTTAGCTAGTCCAATTGACATTGCTGTTGTTAATGTTGACTGACAGACAGTACTGACAGTGACAGTGACAATGTGACACTGTGCAGCGACTCACTTAGTCTTACTCTTAGTTTTGCTAACTATGGATGCCTAACAGTTACAGTTAATCGTACTCATATAACTACAATTCTAAACTGGATTTACAGTATTCATACCCGCAAAGGCGTCTGCATTGCCACTCCGTCATCATCCTCGATGAATTCCATCGTGCAGCAAGCTTCTTAACTTGTTGTTCTGAACTTGAAATCCTATATCTTCTCCCTTAATCTTCAGTATTGCAGCTGCGTACGGTGTGTATAAATGCTGCATCGACGTACGTCTGTGCATGTACGATTCGATTTGGAACTGGCGCGCCCGATCGAGGAGCGTAGACTAGACTCATTCAAGCAGTTTCATTGCTATTTACCGGGAAAATGTCCAGGCCAGGGTGTAAAACGCAAAGTCGCTGCCGGGGTGTATATAAATCTAGACTGCCTATTCAAATAGTTTTCTTTCAAAGACAGTGAGAGACGGTTAATTGTTGTTCTTCATTCAACCTTTGACTATGTCTTATCCGACAGCCTCCATACACCGTACTGTACGAATGCTTTGGAAATATGCTTGTGCACATACACACAGGCCCGAATTCACAAAGCAAGGTTTAGCTGAGACCAAGGTTTAAGTTTAAACCTCCTTTTGTTTCGCCAAACCTCCTTTTGTTATTTATAAACCTGGTTTGTAAATAACAAAAGGAGGTTTGGCGATACAAAAGGAGGTTTAAACTTAAACCTTGGTCTGAGCTAAACCTTGCTTTGTGAATTCGGGCCAATGTACACAGAACCTTACTAATGGATATAATACGTGCTCGTCAAATAATAATATTGTATATCGGAACTCTTTCAAAAATCCGCAACGTTCGAAAATGGGGTCAGAATAACAAAAGCTTAAAATTATGTGTCAAGTTTTACTTTCGATTTAGTCTTGGATGTATCTTAGAAGAAGAACTGCGCTTGTTTTTGGTAGACTACTTAATCATATGGTACCATGATGAAACTATGCTTTCGAGGCCTTCCGATGGGAATTTAAAAAAATAATGATTTTATTTGCCCAGGGAAGCCTCATCAGCTCCAATGCTGTTTTTCCTAATTGCCTTGCAATTGTTATTATTACCCCTATGGCGCGCCATATGCCCAATAACCCCGAAAAGCATTGTTTATCGCCGATAAACAAGGTTTATCGAGCGAAAAACAAGGTTTATCGTGAGAAACTCTGTATATCGACTGATAAACACAGTTTCCCTCGATAAACAAGGTTTATCGAAAAACAAGGTTTATCGAAAAACAAGGTTTATCGAAAAACAAGGTTTATCGAAAAACAAGGTTTATCGAAAAACACGGTTATTCGTATTTCGTCAGGAGAGGGCGCTTTTCAAAGTTGCACCCAGCTCAGAGCACTGCTCCGCACGTGCGCTTTACACCGTAGAATATACCAACACCGAAACACTTGCTCGCGCTCATGACCACGATCGACATTTTCTGACGTACGTAGCATATATTGGCACGAGCTTTAGTGGAGTCATGAATATTCATTATTCCCTACGTCACAGACGTGCGGCGTGCGTACTCTGCCATATACACATGTACTAGTACACGTACGAGTACGTTCGTAAGTATACCTACATTGTACATGTACTTTGCTGCGGAATGAAGAGAATCACTATTTAAAGGACAAATTACTCCATGAAGCCAAGTACGAACAGAGAATTGAAAGCAACTACACTCCCTAATCTAGCTATTTTTGTAATAACATATAGTTAATTTTTTCATAATAGTTTATTCTTTCAAGGCTACATACTTTTAAAGGAACTTTCAAAAGATGATAATTATTGTAGATAAATGAAAAAAACAAAAAACATGTGCACCCAGCAGTTCAATGCAGTTCATATACCTACATACCCACTACCAAATATTACTTGCATGTTGCTTAAATAGTTCGATAGTTGACAGCCACAGTATTAAGTAACATAATAGGTGTTTCATGTGTTTTAATACTGGTAAGTTGCTCGATAACATCACTCAGTATAGTATGATTCAATATATATCTCATTAATGAAACCATGTAAAGGCTATATAGTCTCAAACATACCTACACCATTAAACCGAGTGCCAGCACCATTAAACCATGCCCCAAATTATTAAGTAATCTTCTTTTGGGTATCGAAAGACCGAGGTTTCACTGGTTTATTTAGGGAATTGGAAATTTGATACTATAATGTTCGATTACATCACTCAGTATATGATTTGATCCGAGATATTTCATTAATGAAACCATACCAAGGCTATAAAGTCTCAAACAAAACAACACCATTAAGCCGAGTGCCAACACCATTAAACCATGCGCCAAATTTAGTAATCTTCTTTTGTGTATCGAAAGACCGAGGTTACCCGGGTTTATCTAGGAAAATGGAAATTTAATACTGGTAAGATGCTCGATAATATCACTTAGTCTCATTTGATTCGATATATATTTCATTAATGAAACAATGCAAAGGCATTCTAGTCTCAAACGAACCGTCACCATTAAACCGAGTGCCAACACCATTAAACAATGCCCCAAATTTAGTACTCTTCTTTTGTGTGTCGAAAGACCGAGGTTTCACTGGTTTATCTAGGAAAATGGAAATTTAATACTGGTAAGATGCTCGATAATATCACTTAGTCTCATTTGATTCGATATATATTTCATTAATGAAACAATGCAAAGGCATTCTAGTCTCAAACGAACCGTCACCATTAAACCGAGTGCCAACACCATTAAACCATGCCCCAAATTTAGTAATCTTCTTGTGTGTATCGAAAGGCCGAGGTTTCACTGTTTTATTTAGGGAATTTGAGATTTGATACTATAATGTTCGATTACATCACTCAGTATATGATTTGATTCGAGATATATCTCATTAATGAAACCATACTAAGGCTATAAAGTCTCAAACAAACCAACACCATTAAACCGAGTGCCAACACCATTAAACCATGCCCCAAATTTAGTAATCTTCTTTTGTGTGTCGAAAGACCGAGGTTACCCGGGTATATTTAGGAAAATGAAATTTAATACTATAATGTTCAATTACATCACTCAGTATATGATTTTATCCGAGATATATCTCATTAATGAAACCATACTAAGGCTATAAAGTCTCAAACAAACCAACACCATTAAACCGAGTGCCAGCACCATTAAACCATGCCCCCAAATTATTAAGTAATCTTCTTTTGTGTGTCGAAAGACCGACGTTAC